AGGAAAATGGCGGCGGCCGAGCTCCTCCTCGGGCCTTGCCGGGCCTCTCCCGCGTCACGTGACCGCCCGGCGCCCCGCCCGCGTGACACGCACCGCCCCCTCAGCGCCGGGGGCGAGGGCAGGGGGCGGGAGCCGCTCCTCAGGCCGGGATCGCTTCCCCCGGCATCCCCGGCCCTTGGGCAGCCTCCCCTGCCCCGGGCTCCCTTCCCCTTGCGGGGGGAAGGCAGGCAGCCTTCTGTTCCTCTGGACAGGCTTCTCTCGGGAGATTCGGTGAGCCCCTGTTCGGGTTCAGCGCCGGGTAAAGTCTCCGTGGAGCGAGTAGGGGGTGTCTCCGCCCATGAAGTAGTTTTGTAACTGTTAGCCTGTAAAGTTTTTGTGGAAACTCCTTTGGCATCACCTTAGGCTAGAGAAAGCTCAAAGGGGGAAAAAAAAATCTGTTCTTACGCAGCGAGGGGCTCGCAGCCTGCTGGTTGCTGCGATCGGAGTTGCTTTTATTTGAAAGCTCGCCAAAAATTTCTCGAACGTACATCACGGCCAGCACGAAAACACTGGTGGTTTTTAGGTCTTTCATGATTAGCCTCCCACTGTTCTGGTAGTCAGCTAATGCCTCTTGGGCTTATTCGGTGGCTCTGTCCTTGGCAGCCTGGGATTTTGTACGAAGTTACTTGGTTACTGTTCATAAAAATTGCCAGCTGTTCCTTAAGGTGCCTTCTCCCAGCGTAAATGTGGTTACGTTTATCCCAGTGACACACACTGAGTGAGGAGCAGCTACTTGGCGTCCTTTCCTCCTGCCGCCCATTGCCGAAGTGCCGTCCCAGCCTCCCTCCCAGCTATCTGCAACTTCCATTACTCCTTGCAACAGGGCTCTTCTCCTCCCCAAACACACAGCAGTGAATAGCACACAAAACCACAGGATTCCAGCAGACACAGTTCTTCCTCTCCCAGAAGTGCCTCCTGAGGAGCTGCCCCCCATCCATGAAGCCACTGAAGTATTTATTGGGCAACTTAAAGAGAAGCAGTATACAAATAATACTCAGCACTGTCTGCTTGACAGGATGTGTAAGTAGGATTGTCTGTTTATGATGCTTAAGGAAAATTGGTGTCAGAGGAAGAACATCTGGTGAAAGCAGAACCCAAATAATGCCATTTGTGTGTGTGCGTAAGGAAGGCTTGCAATATGTAGAGCTTGCTTTCTTCATAATGCCAAGCTCTTTGAGGATACTGTTGTATTTGTATTTCTTGGCTCCTTCTGAAGTCCCAAATACCCACACTGGTGAAATAAATGACTGATGTATACAGCAGCAGGCTCTGGCACAAGACAGCTTTAGCATAAAGCTTTGCACCACGAAAACACAGGGGCTGCTGTAGGCTACTGATACAGCAACACACATTGGTATTTTTCATGCTAACTTCAGCTAGGACCTGGATTAAATCACCCCATTTCAAGCTACTGTTTGGAGACATTCCATGGAATTGGCCTGAGCAAATTAGGCTCCAACAGTTCTTCTCTGATGATGCCCGTCACTTTCTCCAGGAACATTGAAACTATGCAAACAGAGGAAGCTTGTGACTCTAGGAGTTACTGAGACCAGATTTGGACAAAATCTCATTCCTAAGGAAACAAAACGTGACCTTGATCTCAGAGGTCCAAAACCAAAAATAAATTTTCCCCTTTTTACAGCTCTTCTTGCTCACAGAAAGCTCACAGTTTTACTCCACAGTTAAAAAATCTGCTTGTATTGCTTGTTTCTAAGCAGAAACGTGTGAGAGAACTGATGGAAAAATATATTTTGATAATTGTTGCTTTTTAATTGCTTGGGAGACACTTGATACCATTACAGCAAGAAGCTTGAAACACTATGATAGATAATATCTGAGCACCTCCCAAAGATTTGGAAATTGAAATCAAAATATTATCTCTTTTCCTTCCCAACCTGAAGAAAACAAGTTTGATTAGTTTATAACTCATTTGTTTTTGTTTGTGTGCTTGGGTGTGCTTGAGAATGAAAGGAGAAAGAAGTGCACATCTAAAGAGAAACTACTGCAGAGATAGGAGTCCTATATTTAGTGAAGCAGCAAACCTAAACAACATTCTTTTCTCTAGTGAAAAGTTCTTCCAGAATCTGGATCTAGCTCCTGTGAAAATACTCTATCTTACATTCACAAGCTCCCCAAAACTGACAGTATTTCACTGGTATTCAGCTATCCTGGAAGGACAAACAAGTTAACAGATCTGTTTCTTCCCATGCATGTTGTATAGTACTGAATACCTAGCCTCAGCATGACCTCTGTAATTTATTATGTATATCATTTTCTTGCAACAGTGTCATTTCCACGCTGTGAGGTGCCTGTTACACTGTAATGCCTGCAGTCCACCACTGTGATCTGGTGTTCCCAGTGCTGCTGGCATCCATGCCCTCCCTTCTTGCTTCATGCTACTGTACACTGTTAGGAGAGCCATGGGTTGGGACACTGGCTTCAGATCTAAGCCAGATGTTTTGTCTGAATTTCAGGTCAATTAGAAATCAGACCATCTGAGGTACAAAACTGGTGAGGAACAAAGCTAAGCATATGCTGATAAACTTTTGCAGGCACTTTACTAAGGATTTGAGGTCATATCTGCTAACAGCAGCAAAAAACCTCAACCCTATCAACCATAATTTGTAAAGTTAAGGAGGCTAGTGAAGAGAAGTTGAAGAGAGGGAGTAAGTTTGAAATAGGGCTGGGCATTGGAACAGATGAAGGGGAAGGTAAAAGTGATGGGGCAAGGAGGCAATGGGGAAGAAAAGCAAAGGCAGCAAAGCCACCTGTGTAAGGTTGGGAAATGCCCTGTTAGCGTTGTATAAATTATTTGGAAACAAGTTACAATCCAGGTGTTTCACATGACCCATTTAATTTGCTGTTAAGGGTTACAGTATTTCCCCCAGCTTTTCAGGGAAGGTGGTTTTGATGTCAGCCCCAGGAATTCAGCATCCGTTTGAGTAAACATAAGATGTAGAATAGACGGTAGGAAATAGAAAACACCAGCTTCCCAATAAAATTTTCAAAATAGTCATGAAACACAGTGGAGTTAGGATGTTTTTTAAAGTGATACACCTCTTCATTACTCCAAATGTGCTTGTTCACAGGTTTTCCTTTTGCTTCACTTGTATCCAGTTTCTGATCCTCTATGCTTTTAGAACCCAGCTCCTTCCTTTCCTAATGATCATTATTTCATGTTCATTCCTGTTTCATCATCCTTATCCATCCAAGTATCCACCCTGAGCCTATCCAGAATTTTCCTGTTGAAACAGGGACATTCAACTCTTGCTCTGCATTCCTCTTATATCACCTGTGTTTCTTCAAGCTCCGCACTGTACTTGCGTCTATTCCAAATCTATCAATCCTGAAATCTATTCCAGCTCACTCCTTGCAACTTCCTCAAGTCCATAGTGAATCAGAGATACATTTCCCAATTCTCTTCCCTCTTTCTGGAAATAGTGACAGCTTTCATGTTTCTTTTGTTTATTTTGCATTTCCTCTTTTGTGCCTCTCTCTGTAAAGCAAACATCCAACTTCCTTCCTCATGTACAGCATTCTTAGCTCTGCAGCTTGTGTCACCTTCTCATGCAGCTCTTGTTATCTAGTAGTCAATGTCCCTTGCAGTGCTGTTCCCTGAAAAGAAGCTGACTTTGTCAACAAAGAAAGCATCTGTCCAAAAGCTAACCTAATTTTGACACGAGAAAAGCACGTAAGAAGGGACAAAAGTGAGTCATTACTATTGCACAGGAGGGGAGCAATCAGAACTAATTTTGCTGTATTCACTTAGGAGCAGGATATCTGGGTAGGAGCTCCCATGCCTCATGAGAGTATCTAAGTAGAGGTGGAAAACAAATATAATGCTTCTGAATTCTCTTGTGTGTTCTAACACCTTTCTTTCCTTGTCCTAACATGAAACTTGCACACTGCAGGATTGATTGTGTCATTAATGCTGTAAGCAGGATTCCTACCTGCCTGACAAATGCACATAGTAAATGTCTTTGAGCATGAGAGAGAAAGGAAACAAGCTCCCTTACATTTTGTTCACACTTCCCAGTGGATGTGTCAAACACTGACACCTCTGAGGAGCAAGAGGCTTGCTGTCCTCTGTGTCTGCCATGCACTGCCCATCAGCAAACATGCCTAATGCACTCCTGTTGCTGCTCCTTCCTACTGTGGTTTTTTACACATCCTCTCAGCGGTGGGCACTCTCACAGTAACTCAGATACTGAACAAGGAAAAGCAAACCTTACAACACAGCCTCACCAGCATGGGAATTGCACCTATACACTTCCCCAAAATTTCTGGAGACCATGTATCATACAGGAGAAAAAGTGGCTCCATCCCTGCTAGTGTCACTTGTCCCTTCCCCCTAGTTTGATGTCCAAAACCTAGGGCCTTGCTGCCAAGTGTTTCTCCCCATTACTGCAGGCAGACAGTGTTTGTGAGACTTGGCAGGACACAGCATTTGATAAGAATCCTTCTCTGGGCACCTCTGAGAGGGCACTGTCATTCATTTCAGTCCCCTGCCAGCTCACAAACACCAAGCCAGGAAAGCAAGTACAGGAGGAAGTGCATTCCTTTTGGGCTCCTGTAACTTGGAAGCAGCCCCTATCATTTCCTTCAGTCACCTTTGAGCCAAAAGCAAGCAGAACACACTCCAGACCTAAAGGAATATTTTTAAGGAAAGTTATAAGCAAACGAACAGGCAGGGTATCAATGGAACAATCACTGCTGCCAAGCTAAAATTGGTACTTATGCTCACACTCTTGCACACATATACGTGCAGCAGAGCTTAATCAATTCCCTCATTAATGTTGAGGATCATGTGCTCATGCTCTGTGTCTGGGAAAGCTTTACACCCACATGAATTTTGATGTGGAGCTGAAACAAAAATGTTGATGCTGGCAATGCCAACTATAGAGAGTAAATAGCTGGGGCCTGCCAATGCTGACTTGAATGGGGCTTCTCACCCAGAAGAAAACCTACATGTGAAAAGTATTCTCATGATCAGGTCTGTGCAGTAAAAGTAAATCCTGGTTTTCTTCCTCAAGCAAATAAATCCATTTTTGCCAATGAGTTGGTTTCAAGCCTTGTATGGGTAGGTCCCACTCCCTGGTCTTTATGTGAGATCTGAGTCTTGTCCACTGGAGTGAGTCAGGCTATCAGTGTTTGGCTCTGTGCTTCAGGGGTCAGTGACTGCATTTACATGTGGGCAGACTTCATGCTGATTAAATCAAACTACTGCACTG